AGTGGAGAAGGCCACACGCATGCATGACTCACTGGCTCGCGCTAGGTGCATTTGTGACTGAAAGGCATCTACATGATCATTCGGGTCGAACGACCCGTCATACTTGTCAAGAGGGGGAAGCTTGAAATCCTTGGGCATCGGGACTGCCAAGAGTTCGGAAGACAGGGGGGACGAAACTGAGAGGAGGGGAGCCTTAGCTTCAGCCGAGCCTACCTCTTCTTTGCCCATGGGCTCGGGCAAATCGCGGGTGACAGATCGGCGAGCTCGGCGGCGGCGTCTCTACTTCTTGGTGGGCTCGGCGTTCGTGCTGCTCACCTCCGCGCTGTCCAGAATAGTTTGCGCCGGGAGTAGCCCGGTCTGCTGGTGATGGTTGCGGACAGAAGGGACCTGCTTGGAGTTTGTTGCCAGGATCTCGAACCGGTTTTCAAAGATCGGGGTTCCGAACTTCGACTGTCGAGGCGACGTTGACCTGCCGGGCCAGGGCCCTCCCGACCTGTCCACCCGCGGCGAGGTCGGGGTAGCCAGTCTCTCCCATCTGCCGTGGGGGGAGGCCTGGTTTTTTGGGAGATTTTGGAGGGCCTCTCCTCGGCCGAAGTGCTCACTCTGGCGGCGAGATTTAGCTTGCTGCGAGGCCAGGTGCTGAGGCTGGAGCTGAGGCTATTGAAGCTGGGGTTGGGGCAGCTAGGGGAATTGCTGTTGATACTGGTACTGAGAGACCTGGTGCAGCATGTGCTGTTGATAGAGCTGAAGTTGTTGGAATTGTTGCATTTAGGCCTGCATAGCCTTCATGCACTGCATCAGATCCTCCAGTTGGTTCGGGTTGGCCGCTGGGGGCACGACCGAGGGTTCGGTGAACATCATTCCGACTGTAGCGGGGAGTGGGGCGATGACAGGTGCCATTGTGAGAGGCACGTTCAAGCTGGGGATTCCATCCGCTGAGAGGGGGACGGTGAACTATCTGATATAGACAGTAGGAGACTGGGGCTGCTCCCTGGAGTTACCCATTTCCGTGCTTCGTCTGACGTTGCTAGAGGAAGCCATGAGCGCCGGGTTGTTTCAAGGAAGAAGAAGTAACTGAAAGAATTTAGAGGGGAAGGCCTTTTGAAGCAAATTCCCACAGACGGCGCCAAATGATGTGGCGCGATCTGGGCACTCCTAACTGGCGACTGACAGGCTCCTTGCTGGCAACGAGTGGCACCTGAGAAGATGAAAGGAAGGATTCCCGGGGGTTTGCCCAGTGGGAATACTCTGATGCTTAAGTTAGTACTGTGTATGGAAGTAAAGAGAGCAAATGAAAGCTAAGAGTGGACGTCGCGCTTATCACTATATTCGAGAGGTTGGAGGTCTCAAGAAGAAGTTTTTCCTCTGCCCTGAGGGCTTTTATAAGAGCGTTCTTGCGAGATCGGGCATAATCGCCACTGGGCCCCTGCCACAGTCGTTACCTGCCAGGGCTGCGCAGGTGGCCATTGGGACGTACTCCTTACCCGGGCAAGTGACACGTCCCCAAAGTGACAAGCACGCCTCCGCCTACTGAGATACGTGGGCACAAACTGTCGAAAGGACAGGGACTGCGCCGTTAGTTAGGGACGTGGTCCAGTCTGACTTGGTACAACCTATTAAATAGAAGCTTCATGAGGAATGCTCGTGCGGCCCATTCGCGGGCTACTTTGCGACGAGCTTCGAATACTTCAGAAGTACCCTTAATAGAATTGGTCATCGGATGACTTGCCTTGTTCGGGAGCTCGGGCGAGCTGACTTTCTTAGCTCGCAAGTTAAACTTTGCCTCGGAATATCCCTTGAGGTAGCTCGGGGGACTTGGAGCTCGCATTGTGGCGAGCCCCTCCTTTCCCCCGCTACCATGTAGCGAACTGCTTTATGGGCCCATCACTTAGCCGCACTGGACCACAATGTTGAGCCGTCACTTACGCTGAGTCAGCGTCCACGTGTCGCCTTTCTATAGGTTGGGCCAAATCATCCTTCATCAGAACACATCAATCCAGGAATTTTGTTCTAAGAACCTGAAGAAAAGCATTCACATTTTTAAACAAAATGAAGTGGGATGAATCCTAATGGATTATCCATGAGATAGTCTTGCCGCTCTAGTTACTGATACATGAATTCATGCCTAAATAGAGAAAAAACAGACCAAGGTAGGGGTTTCAATTGGAGTGGATTTGGTCCAATCCGGTCCAGTCCAATGTGAATCCATTACAATTAGACCTGGTCCAATCCAGTCCAATTAATATTTTAGACCATTTTGAACCAGTCCAGAGACTGTCCAATCTGTTCAAATTCATGTTAACTTAGATTGGTTTCAACTCAAACCTGGTCCCTTGACACCTATGTTCTTATCTTTTATCAATGGACCAGATATTGGCCCAATCCAATATAAATTCATTATGGATGGACCAGGTACAATCCAATGTCATATTGGTCCGTCCAATCCAGCCAAATTCAATGTCTTATAGGTCCGTCCAATCCGTCCAAATGGATTTCGATTTGGACGGAGGCCAACCCAAAACCGGTCCATTGACACCCCTAGACCAAGGCACAACTCCCAGTCCCTAGTTCTGACATGGTTGCATGATAGACCTCACATACATCAATCGTATGTGGGCCACGAATGCATGCATATATGCCAACCAGACTATGCATCACATTTGTAAGGTCGATCTTCCGGGTCAAATTGGATGTCTAAAAGAGGAATACTATCTAGTAATGGGATGCCTCCTGATTTTCTGAGGTCCAATAACATCATACGGAGAAGTTTATTCAAAGTGCACATCGTGGGATTTGGTTTTGTTTTAGACATGTCTGACCCATGGACCCAAGTAATGCCGTCCAAAGATGCATGAGGAAGCTGCTAGACATGATGAGGCCATGGGGATAGGAGACAAGGAAAGAAATGGAGGGTACTTGAGAAACTCAGGAGAAGCTCAATTGAAAGTTGATGAATTTCTTACCAGAGACTAAAATGCTAGAAAAAATAGACATAATGCTGAAACTGGAAATATGATAAACTCCATACTCTTGATCTTATTTGCTTGCCATGTATATATAAAATAAAAAGTAATAAGCTGCTAAATTGCAAAACTGTTCAAAGTATTGCAGCTGTTAAGGACTTGGTGAAGATTTCTAGATCCTTCAATCCTTCCTCTGGAGATTTTGCATCACCCAAGACTTTCACCATGGCACTACCAACTATAACACCGTCAGCTCCCCATCCTGATACCTGTAACCAACAAGAGTTTAAGATGTATCAAGTTTTGGGGTTTGAAAATTGGAAGCATAAATATCCATGGCTACTTGGCTTACCTGTTTTACATGTTCTGGTTTTGATATGCCAAAACCAACTGCCACTGGTTTATCTGTTGCCTGTATGTGTGAGGAAAGTGTTAGGCATTGACAAAGAATTGGATTTCACATCATCCACTAATCAGCTCCATAGCATCTTCCAATTGATGGCTACTGTTCCTGACTGGTTATAGCCCTATGGTACAAATTATGGGATTCGAATAATAATTTGATGGACGTTAATTGTGGTTTAACTGCCCATGTCCATAATTTTATTAATTTTCCAAAATCAAGCAAAAAATAAGATTCAGTACCATATCGTTTATATAAACATGCCCCAGGAATTTTAGCAATCAATTAAGTTATGGCAATGATGGAAGGAAGTCAAGGGAAAGAATCTTGAAGTTTAGAAAACTAAAGGAGACTCGAAAATAGTAGTGGGCTAGTTACAAAGTGAGGAGGCAAAGATGTGGAATTACAACAATGAGAGGAAGAAATTCAGATGGCTGACAAAAGACATGGAAGTGAGGATACAACGAGTCAAATGAAATGCTAATTCCCTGGCAGATGCTTCAGCCAAACAAGGGGTGGGGAGAGAGCATCTATTTTGGACACAGTTGTAAGAAAAAGGAAGATACTTTTGGGGAGAAATAAGAAGGCTTATCTCTTATGACTGTACTCTTCTATTGTAATCACTGTTTACATTTTCTCCATTAATGAAATATGCAGTTATTCATAAAAAAATTGCAATCAATTCCGAAGTGTGGACCAAATATGAATTTACTAGCTACGGTGCATAATTGACTATTCTAGTAGGTACAACATTCCGATTCTTCTGAATCTTGCACTTTAGCAACTCTCTTTGTATCTTACAAGAGTTGTCCAAAAAGTTCACAATAGAGAGCAGCCTCCTACTTCATAGATTTGCTCGCAAGGAATGGTTGAAACTTTATGTCCTTTAATCTAGAAAAAAACAATTTTCTATATTTAGTGTGAAATACATATTAAACCAACAAACCTCTTTAATTTCTTGTATAAGAGACTGAACCCGTGAGCTTACAGATGAACGAGCTCCTGTAACTCCAACTGTGCTCACCTGTTTACCTCGTTAAAACATTTAAATAATGTTAAGACTGTGGCGATTTCAATGCCATACAAATTTATGAATAGATTGTTAATCTACTTTGTAAGAAAACATGTGATAATAAGCCAATAAGAACAAATAATAACAAGTAAATATTTTTAAGTCTTGAAACACAGGACAAGGACTCTAGAATCAATCAAGGAGAGCATACATATAAAAACTGCCCATTGGATCAAAACCTTAAAAACTTTTTAAGCATTTCCTGTTGAAGACTTGTTTAGGGCTGAAGCGTGATAGCAGCTACTACTACTCATAGGGATGCGGTCTTATCACATTGGGCTCCACCAAATGAAGAAGTAAAATTAAATTCTGGTGGTGCGTTTTGGAAAACCCTGGCAAATCAGGTACTGGGGAAGTCTTTAGGTACCACAAGGGGATTACTCTAGCTATGTTTTTAGGCTCTATAGGGGAAGGAAACTCTATCAAGGCTGAACTGAAGGCAGCAGTGCATAGCCTAAGATTTGCAAGGGACCTAAAACCAAGGAAACTTGTTGCGAAAGGGTACTTGAAGGTGGTGATAAGATGGCTGAAAGATAACAAATGAGGACCAGAATGATTTATAGGAGCTGAAAATTTTATCATCAAAATTGAATGCAAGCTTTACATGGACATATAGATATGCAAATGTAGTGGCAGACAACATGGCCAGACAAGGGGTGAACAAAAGAGAAATGTTTTGAGGTACTTTGTAAAAGGGAATGTATGATCGGGAAGGGAGCAGGTGCTAGCCTCATTACCATTCTTTCATACATAATGAAATAATTTCTACTGTTAATACTCAAAATAAATGCTGAAGATTCAGAACTATCCTTCTCAACTCAAAGAAAAGACATGGAAAGCATATTTACTGCAGAATATCTTACAAGGTAAACAAATCCTTCTGAAGCTTCAACAATGGCTTTCATCCGATCTGTTGGAGTAGTAGGTGTTGTGAGAAGTACCTCAAATGCACAATAAAGTAGTGTAAGATAATTGCATAAAGATTAATTAAACAAAGCAACAAAAGCTATTGTCAGATATAACTGTTTAATATAGAACTTTTAGGATAGCACCAAATAGTTTAGTTCCTATTTCCAGGATCAGGTATGACCATTATATATTATCTCATAAATAAACATAAAATGCCAACACCATGTATCAGCAAATTATTGTGTTAAACAAAATTTACAATAAAGCTCACCAATCATATCATATCATAAATCAGAAGATTACTTTGACCTTTTTAAAAATTATCAAAAAATTAAAAGTATTTATACACTAGAAGTTTAAATATACAAAAAAAAAAAGTTGCAGCATTTTCAATCCAGATCCACTATTCAAGTAATTGTCATGAAGTCTACCACTTGAACACTATGTAAGATTGTTTAATCAAGTTTGACTACGAAGTTAACTAACCCACACAAGGGATTTTTAACCTACTATGATGAAAAATAAACCTAAAAAAAAGCTTTTGAATAAACTTTAAATAACCCAAGTACATCTCCTCCTAGTAAGGGCCCAAAAAGCATACAAATAAATAAAGAAATGAAAAGTACAAAACTAGGTCATTATTAGATTGATTCTAATCGTAAATCAGATACATTGTAATATTGAGGAATAGAATCCAAAGATTCAAATCAAGACCCTTGGGCTTCACAATAATTGTAAGATTTTAAAAACATTGGTCCAACTATCCAAGATTGTGGAAGGGGTGAACTGGATATGGACCAAAACTCTGGAATTTTAGCATCAAGAGGCCACTTTTAGACACAAGCCTGCATTTGCACATTTGCCAATAGCCCAAATTAATAAAAATAATGAAATGCTAAGAAAATATTTTTCTCCACTCATTGTTTATTTTTAGTTCCTTTGGGAGAGTGGTAAACTTGCATGAAACAAGAAAACTCATGGTACGTCATAAATAGCCATAGGCTTGATTGGTTAATGCTGCAAGTAATTTGTAATATCATAATTTCACAACTATTTTTTTATTTAATCTACTGATAATTGGGACCTTTTAATAAGTAACTGGAATTTTCAGAAAAGAATATTTGATATGTACAAGGAGTACCCAAGCATCCCACTGTTTTAGGGTAGCCTTGCTTACCTGACCCATTGCCCCTTTACCTTTATATTGTTTTTATTATCTTAGCTAGTAAATCTGCGATTACAATTACATTATCTTTGAACCCTCATGAATCTACTTGACACCTCTCTAGCTAGATGCCTGATGTCTCTCAAAGATATGTCTGTGTAGCCATTGCCCACACTATTGTTTTTAAACCACCCCATTATGACTTTTGAGCCCCCCCCCCCACCCCTCTACCAAGTACCAACAGCTTATGATAATTGAAGTCTTTCCTTATTCTTAAACCTTTGACGTACGGCTGACATTTCAAAATTGTACAAAGAATTTTCTTTAAAGCAATAAAACCTTGGAGTACGGATGGGTTGGCCTTTTTTTTTTTTTTTGAGCAAAGGTAAAGTATAACTGTGTTGATGTAAAAGGTCCTTTGTACAAATAGAAGCTCACTTTCTATCGATTTGGTATTCTATTCTCACTTTCTATTTCTTTAATGCAATAAACCTTTAAACATGAAACACTCCCTTTGGTATTCTATATCCACTTTTACACAAAAACGATAAATCCATTGTTATGGAAACAGTTTTTGGTAATGATTTGACATGGATATGAGCTGGAAGAGTTAAGTTTGAGCAAAATATCTACAGATGTCTATGTCCCATTTCAGGTGGAGGATTCTCAAATGAATAAGCTCTAAGTCCAGTTGGAATTTTGTAAGGTAGCTAATATATCTTCTATTTTTTCAGGTACCTTGCGTGGGATTGAAAAATAAATTTGGGCTAGCATTTCATACAGATACACAGTTGCACCTTAGGCATTTTTCATGTGCCCCAGATTAGTTGTATGCTTTTGCTTGCTAGTACACAGTAATGGCTTCTCTTCACATACGGTATGTGGTTTTAGATTTCCTGTAACCACAGCCCCCTCCTATTAGCTATTGCAGCTCCTAAAGTTTTTCTATTCTCTTTTCTAACCTCTGTGACCTGCCTCTTTGAAACATCTGATGGGAAAGAAGAACCATATGTGCATCTAAGCTTGCCAAAAGCACACAAGCACACAGTATGTAGATTTTACAAATATTGATTCTTAACATGTTTCAGGATACATTATCTTAGATTCACAGGGGATTAGAAACAACAACCCACCATTATACCATGTGATATTTTCCTACAAGAGAAAGAATAACAGAAACATATGCATAATATGCTACACTTTACCGGCACATACTTATCATAACATATAGCTTTTAATAGTTTTAAAGTTAATTAAAGTATCATCTGCCAAAGTTCTGGGCATCAGTGCATATGACGGTATATGTACATGACATGTTTAAACTTTAAAGTAAAATACAAATAGGCCAAAAAACAATAAAAAAATACAGAATAGTATTAATAATTTGTAGGAAAGTGTGGGCCCCACATTAGTGTACTCGTGTGACAGCCTGAGTTGTACTTAGATTTAATTAAGCCATTGATTAGGATCAGCTTTCCTAGTAGGATTAGTTTTAATCCTATTCTATCTTATCAAGGATTAGTTTTTAATTATCTCATCTTGCCATGTAAGCATTAAAATTCTTTTACAATTAGGAAACTATGTATATAAATTCAAAGGGTGGGGCGGCTGTTTTAACACAACCAACCACTCTCTTCTCCTAAAACCCTTCCACGAGTTTCTCTTCTCCATCTCTCTTCTTCTCTTCTAATTTTCTTTTATTTACTGTTCAAATCTGTAGTCTTGTACGACTACTTGGTATCAGAGTTTGGATTAGGGAGTCTCATGTGAGTTTGATCCAGCCGATCACATGAGAGTTCCCTAGGGCTGGAAGAATAGAGAAAGCTCTCTTCGGCTGATTCTTCGAGGTTATCTACAGCAACAGTCCAAAGATTGGATTGTATCCTTGATAACCAGGAAGAATCAGAGGAAGAGAAAAGGATCAAGATCAACCCTAGATCAGTACTGGAGGTGGCGATCAGAATTTCAAAGGATTTCTGTTCGATCAGTACTGGAGGTTGCAGTCAGAATTTCAGAAGATTTCTGGTTCAAGATCAGAGCGCTTCAGAATTTTCTGGTAAGTTTTTCAATCTTTCTTAAGATCAGAAGTAAGAATACCTTGATAAGAGGTATGAAAAAAACTCCAGAAGATTTCTGTAGTTCTTGTTAGGGTTTAAGAGAAAACCTTCAAGTTTCAGGGCTGTTATTGCTTCAGGATTTGTCTCCCTCGACTTCTTTGCTCTCTGGAAGAGCTGTTTCAGCAGGACTGTTACAACAGAACTGTTATTTCTTACCTATCAGTCTCAATAGGCCGACTGTCACAGATTTTTTTTACTACTATTTCCATATTACAACTGTAAAGTTTGATGGTTCAAACTACTTAGAGTGGTCCCAATCATCCATGATGGCCATTGGGGGAGAGGAAAACTGAACTACTTGTTGGGGGATGTGAAGGAACCAACTAAAGAGGATCCCACTTATGCTAAGTGGATTCAGGAAAATTATTTGGTGATGACATGGCTGTGCAACTCCATGCAGCCACACATCAGCCGAAATTACTTATGGGCAAAAACAGCTAAAGAAATATGAGATGTTGTAAAAGAAACCTACTCTCAGCCCCTTAATGTTGCTAGGGCTTTATGAGCTGAAATTGGAAGTTAGAAATCTCAAACAATGAGAGAAACAGGTCTCCGTTTATTTTTCAACCCTAAAATCTCTATGGCATGAAATTGACCATCTTGAGACAATAGAATGGGAAAGTCAGAGAGATGCACAGACTTACAGAAGACAAGTTAAAACTAATAGAGTATTTGAGTTCCTAGCTGGTCTAAATTCTGAGTATGATATTATAAGACAACAACTGTTAACAAGAGAGGGTGTGGCTCTGTCTCAAGCCTATTCCCTAGTGCACAATGAGGAGACTAGGAGAGAGGTTATGTTGCAGCAGCAGCCTTTCGAATCTGCCCTGGCAGCAGTTAAACCCAAGTCTAGGGGGGATAAGGAAAAAGGATATGAAGAAAGAGGCTAAGAAAGACCTAGTGTGCGAACATTGCAAGAAACCTACACACACTAAAGACACTTGTTGGAAGTTATATCCACATTTGGTTCCAGCAAAACTCAGAAACAAAAAGGGGAATGCCAATATGGTTGTTAACACTGATAGTGCAGCCTCAACAGCCTCAAGAGGCACTAGACACCCTAGCTGCTGTCCGAGCTGCTTTGACACAATTGGAAAGTGAAGTTAGTAACTCAGTCTCATCTCCTCAGCCACCATCAGCTCTAGGTAATACAAAAAATTCTTGGATAATAGATTCAGGAGCATCTGATCATATGACTGGCTTGCCATCACTTTTCTCTACCTATCATTTATCTTCTGGTAAAGACAAAGTGTCCATTGCTGATGGATCCCTTGTTCCTATTTCTGGCAAAGGAGACATCAAATTGTCTGATGCCATTTCCCTATCCTCTGTCTTGCATGTTCCTAAGCTTAATATTAACTTGCTTTCAGTTAGTAGCATTACAAAAAAACAAAATTGTTCAGTAACTTTTTTTCCGGATTGATGTGCTTTTCAGGATCTGGAGACAAGAAAGGTGATTGGGACTGGCCGTGAGACAAATGGAATCTACCTACTTGGATGAAGTGCTCATCAGGAAGATAGTGAAACTAAGAAATCCTTTGTTTCTCAGTCTGTTGATCAGGTGATGCTTTGGCATAATAGGCTGGGTCATTTATCCTTTCAAGCCTTGAAGAGTTTGTTTCCTAGTTTATTTGAATCTATTCAGGTGTCTAGTTTGAAGTGTGAAAGTTGTGAACTTGCAAAACATTGCAGGACAACTTATTTATTAAGTAATAGCAGAAGCAATATTCCTTTTGAAATTGTGCATACT